GATATTCTATGATTCAAGGCTGAAGGTCAAACAAGGAGGGAAGGCTCAGGATGCAAGAGGGTAAAGGATCAGACAGCTGATCATAAACATGCCAAGGATTTTCCAGAACAAGTTCTATGATAGGACCAGAAAGTCTGAAGGAGCTTGTTCTGAATACACAAATATGCATTGTACCAGCTCAAACCTTCAGGTCCCCATGAAAGTTCTTACATCCATCTTATCACCAACTCAACCACTGCAGTCACACCTACCAGCTTTAACAGAGACATATTAGTGAACTGTTCTTGTTGGAACAAGCTGCACCCCTTTTCTTGAACAAACCTTTGCGTGATTTGGTTGTGTTGCCAATACATTGCTGGGGGATGAGGGGTGGGTGTAGCTATGCAATGGTACACGCTCCTTTTGTGCTTTTAGAAGCAATTAGGAAGCAGTCAAAATGTAAGCGTATTCTTTGTATGTTTGAGCTAACAAAGCTCCCGGGGTTCACTGGAACAGAACTCTATTCTCAGCTCCTGACCTATATCCAAAGCACAGGCAATTCCTGGGAGACGTGTTTAGGAAATGTGATGAAGTGTCACTATTTGTTCCTTCTGCTTCAGAAGGGTCTCACCTTACCTGTCAAGGGCTGGAGTGAGGCGATACTCTTTGGTTGCCGACAGGATGGCTTTGATCAGATTATCTGGGGAGAAAGGAAAGGAAAGGAGGCATTAGACCATTTCAAACAAGTTTTCACCTTTAATGAAGATTATGTGCAAGGTGGAGTAAGTCAGGGAGTCTACGAGTGCAACTTACACTCCGAGGAGCTGACGGTAAGTGTCTGTTAGGAGTAGCGGTAACCCACTGAAATTTACTTGTTCCTATATCCTCCTAGTAGCTGCTCTAAGTCTAGACCCTCAGGGCGTGAGATACTTTAACTCGAGGGGATCTCGTGTGCCACATTCAGAGGTGATTAGTTCCCACCATCACAGGTCTCTCGGCATTGTCTGGAGAAGTCTCTCTCTTGGGGGAACTACGTGTCTGAGGTATAGTGATGTAGACATGAATCCTGGAAGCATTCCCCTGGGTATCCAATAGGGCAATGGAGGGGTCTGGTAAGGAAGGTACCAGTCCCCAGGCATGCCTGGCCCAGGCGTCCTGACCCCTTGCAGAAGTCTTCTCAAACCCACATGGGTGGGAGCAAGAACAAGATTGGGAAAAAGCTCTTAACTCTCAGTGACGACACCCCCCATAGCTTGCCTCAGAGTCTGATGAAGAATTGGAGTATTCTGAGAGCCAGGGTGGTGTGACACTGGGTGGGGTCCTCGGGTGACCAAGATATAGATTGATGTCAGGGGAAGTGTGCATGACTTTCTAGCCACCAATAACATGCAGTGCGGAGAATATGGTCCCTGACCAGAAGTGGAAGGAGGCAGTATCTAGCCCAATGCTGGGGGCCCCGAATTAGAACATACGGGTGCTGACAATCTCAGCAGCTGTGCTGGTGCCAGATGAGGGACTTCACCCTGAATCAGTGATGACAAAACAAGATGCTGGCCACCGCATAAGCTCTGGGAGTGGTCAGTACAGACACACATGACGGTGAGCAGGGAGAACTGCTCTGTTGCCGCTGGAGAGGTAACCAGTCTCGATGGTCCCTGGCAGGGAACAGGAGTCGATGGCTCAGGTCCCTCTATACAATCCGGAGGGTGCACTCTACCATTAGTACCAGAATGACCAGCTGTAGAGGAGTCCTAGGCTCTGGACTTAGAAGAGCCCAATACTAATTTCTTCTTGTGCGTCTGAGGCTGGGGCTGCTCTGAAGCCATGGGCCTGGAATGAGGTTGTCGCAGGAAGGGCTCTCCTTGTCTGCAGGCAAAGCTGGGGGGCACACGGGGAGGCAGTCAAAGAACGAACCTGGGATGACCGAGGGGCTTCTGATGCCAGTGCAAGGGCAGCTTCCATGAGGATGTAAGTGGGACACGCCTTCCTCCCCTCCCTGCATTTGAAACAGGACAAACGGGGCACCTGTCTCCAATGTGACCCTCGCCTAAGCCCTGAGACAGTGAGAATGAGAGTCACTGACAGGCATAGGTTTTTTGCAGCCTGAGCAAGGTTTAAAACACAGAGACCTTGGCATAGGCTCCCCTGGTACTGAGCAGGGCCTGGAGGCCCTGCTGATGGGAAAAAACTAAAAAGAACTAAACTAAAATAAAGATTTTAAAAGCATTGAGTGATGAAAAGGACAGACGAATATAAACGAGCAGACAAGAAGGGAACACAAATGCTCCAATCACTGACCACAGACGGTAAGGAACAGGAGGGGCGGGGCAACTCTGCTATTTATCCTCTTTCTTTAGAGCATGAGGAGCTCGGCTGTGGGCAGGACTGCACCTACAGGTACTGCCAGCACCGGTGCAGAGGACGTGCGCGCCCCGATAGTGTTATGGACACAGAGGAAACAGTGGATTCTGGGAGATTTTGGAGGCCAAGCTAGACTGTGGGAAAGTGGTGACAGGGCTATCTGAACTATTCTAAAGCCATCCACACTGGTATTAAAATGGTGCAGACTGGAGTAGTTTCTACTAAACCAATATTTAGACCTGCTGAAAGCAAGTCTAGTCCAAACTGGAGCGGATATGCACATACACCACTCAGAGCACTTGTGTGTGGATGTGACACTAGATATTTAGCATGGTAAGTTTCTCAAATGTAGACAAGGCCCAAGAAGGAAGCTTGATCTACTTGAATTCAACACAGCAAGGAATGGGGAATCACAGACTGGAGCAGTGCACAGGCGGTAGATTTCAGAGAGCACCTGTGGAGGATCTGTTCCTGGTTACTCTTGCGTATTCATTTTGTGAAGGGCTTTAGCTGCCTCCGCCCCTTGCTTTAATATTGGGCTATTTCAAAAAAAGAAAATGAGGAGAGTGGAGCAGTAGATCCACGTATGGGAAGGTTCCCTAGCACTTTCCATTTAACCCTTAGACTGAACTCCTGTGCCCACAGCATGGGCAGTATCGCCACACAGCTCAGCATTCCTCTCCCCGCCCTGTAGAGGTGGAAGGGGAGTTCATGCTCCAAAACTCATTCGATGCTTGGCCTCTCTCCTCAGCCTGCCAACAAAAGGACCCGTACGTATTAACAGCTCTGATGGGTTTGTGAAGCACACACCTTCCCACTGGGAACCCGACTCAAATCACCACCCTTTTTTTCACACAGGTCACCAAACTGCATCTGATGGTCACCGCTTTCAGCAACACCCATGGAACGTGGGCAGTCAAGCGCCAGGGCAGCGTGGAGGAAATTACTCAGTATCAACCCCCCCTTCCAGCTACAGCCAGCCAATGAGACTCCAATGGCCTGGGCAATGCAACTGTGCTGGGGATGTTTGCAGACTCCTGGGAGTGCCACCCGTCACAGCGGGGGCTTCCCTCATGAGCCCCTCTACTCACAGATAATAGGAGCCTGGGCCCTTCAAATGCCTTTGCTGGAAACATTTCCACGCCAAGTGTGTCCATGGGATGCTGCATCTCCCAGACAACACGCCTCATAAACTAGCTTCTTCCTTTCTTAAAAGCTTAAGCTCCCCCGACCCCTTAGCCGTCTTGTTTGCTCGACAGCCTCTGACTCACCTCCCGAGGAAGCCAGAGCTGCACCCCTGCTCCTGCCAGCATGGGGATGCAGAGGCTGCTGCGTGACACCAGGGGAGCGAGAATGAAGAAACACAGGAACAGCCCTTTGGACCAGCTGCATTTGTTTATGAAGCCTGATTACTCATCCCTCACTTCCCTCTGGCACTACTCAAGGAATCTCCCATCTACCTCCCTGGAGCTCCCTGCCCCTCCACTGAGCTACACATGAGTCGTGTGTCATTTCCAAACAATGCAATGATTCTGCAACCGAGTCTCTGCATCCTCTGAAGGGCACAGCCACTGTACCCAAAGCCATCTCGGCAAGCTCCCTGCATTTCCAGCTGCTCCATCCTCGCTAGATATTATCTAAGAACCCTGAGTTGCTGTGATATATCCTGCCAGGTTTTGTCTCCAGATATCAGAAGATTCAAAAGCAGGGCAGCATTGCACAGTTTCTCTGGACTTGACTTCAGGTTGACCTTGAAGTTTGCAGGCTTCTGGAAAAAGCTAAAAGTAAATAGTAAGGAAACAGGCAGGCAATGACCACACAGAGAGAACCAGCCTGAGTCTGACTAACATTTCCATCGAGGTTATTTACATGGAAAGGCAGAAAACTTCACTTCTGCATCAGCAAGACTGACCAGTGAACTTCAGCAATCTTTATTATTGGGTCAGTGAGAAGCTGAACATTTCTGACCCAGTAGGGGTCACCTATGGCTCTCCCAGGTGCCAGTTTCTGCCTTGGCAGTGAGCGATTCAGGCCTTTCCTGCACTCTTCTCTGGTAAAGTGACGAAGAGAATTTGCAGTAAGTATGTCCCCATCAGTCACATTCCTCACTGAACAGCAAGTCCCGATGCCAGTATTGCTAACCCCAGAGCATTCAGATGTCATGAGTTAGGCTCCAAAAATTGTAAGATTACCTTAAAAATAAAAATAATGAGATTTTTAGACTAGCCACTGGGCTCTCTGTTTGCCTTGGAGCACCACGTGACCCTGAAACCATATCCACCACATCTCAATGTCTGACCTCCTCTCATCCCTCTAAGGCCCACAAAAGCACCAGGAGGTTACATTTCCCTTGGGGGGATTGGGGGGGGAAGACTCGTAAAAGTCAGCAGGAGAGTGTGAGGGTTTCTCTCTCCTGAGCAGACTGAAAAGGAGGGAATTATCCACGTCTTAGTCACTCAGAGACACATCCGTGAGGAATTTTAATTCGGAGCTCACGAGTCATTGGATTAGATTGGTGCTGGAACTAGGGGTGTGGGGATGGCTGCCGCACCCCCTGGCTTGAAGTGGTTTCCATTATATACAGGGTTCAATGGCTCTCAGCCCCCCACTACACAAACTGCACCAGCAGTGCTGATTAACTATGGACTCAGGGTTTGAGACCTCACCCAAGAGCTGGTCCTTGCTCTTTCTGACTGTTGTTCAGAAAAATCTCATCGGGTTTAGAGAAGCCCACTACTGAGCGAGGCACCAGCCTTGATTGAAATAGGGGACTCCGCAAAGAGATTCTCCTCTTCTCCAGAGGTTGTTCAGGGAGATCTATTGTTTTAACCCCAACAGTCACTAAAGAACCTCACCTTGGAGTCCTCGTTTAGTAATCAAAAGCCAGTGCCTGTACTCCAGTAGAATCCTTGGCTTCTTGCCCTCAACTTATTCATTTAAAAGTTTCCTTTCTCGTGGCCATATCAACTAGCTGAACTGGGGAAAGAGAAACTTTTATCACATGGAAATCTGCATGAAATAAGCAATTCCCAGTTTTGGTCCAAAGAAAAATTCTAATTTGGGGGTTAACTCAGAATTTCGCATTAACCAATCATCAGAGAAGGACAAACAACTATGTGTTAGCAGCTAATGTAGCTCACAATCCCAAGTTCTTCTTGGACAGATCTAAAGAGGTCACATCCTTGGACAGATCTAAAGAGGTCACATCCTTGG